CTTGGGAGGCAGAGGCAGGAGGATCTCTGTGAGTTCGAGGCAAGTCTGGTCTACATAGTAAGTTCCAGGCCAGCTGGGGATACAGGAAGACCCTGTCAGAAAATGACCAAAAAACCCAGAATAATGAAACCCTATCATTTGCAGCAAGATGGATGGAACTGGAGGACATCCTGTTAAGTGAAATAAACCAGACACAGAAAAGACAAGTACAGCATGTTCTCGCATATGTAGAAACTTAAAAAGTTAATCTAAAAATGGAATACTGATCATTAGAGATGGGGTGGTGGTGAAATGGGAGGCTTTATTTGATAATACATACTACATACGTGTGGAAATATCACAATGAGCCCTATTAATATGTACAAAAAATACACTCTAATAAAATATGTTAATGCAAAATCTGGTGATAATTTTAACCATCCTAAGTGACATACCCCAGTAATTCTATATGTTTCTTATATTATGGAACAGAATTTTCTAGTGAGCTTAAAACTTCAGTTAACCTAACATATACTCTTTCCTGGTAGTTTAGTGTTTCATGGGGAAATGGGGGCAGGAAAGTTTTCATTACATTTTTACATTTTTATTCCATGCCACGGTGTGTGCCTATGGATGTCACAGGACAACTTTCAGGAGTTGGTTCTTTTCTTCTACCATGTGAATCCCAAGGATCAATTTCAGATTATCAGGCTTGGCTACAGGTGCCTTTACCTGCTGAGCTATCTCTCCAGCCCAGGGAAGTTTTTAATTTATGGAGGATACAGTGTGATAACTCAAGGCATATATTGTGTAATAATTAAATCAAAGTATTATAATTTCCATTTCCTCAAACATGTATCATTTCTTTGTATTTGGAGCCTTCAAATCCACTCCCTTTTAAATATGGATCAATGACTGGCAGTTCAAATACACTTCAGTGAGGTGATGCTGAATAGCTCCTACAATCTCCACCCAAAGTTCTCTCCTTCCCAGCAGTTACATGTGCATGACCTTGAGGCAAAGTACAACCTAAACAGCATCAGTGAAAGTCTTGACTGTGGGGTTTAAGGGAAGCTTTCTACCTTTAATAAGTGTGCTTCCCCATATTCTGCTATCCTATAAGTGAGCAGGAAGGAGGCTGGAGGTGAAGTAAGCCACACTGCAGTCATGAAACAACTAACAAGAAGGTCCTGAGCACTGTGGAGTGGGAAAAGAGACTCAGCTTCATTGGCTTTGTGGATGACCAGCTTACTGCCTTTCTCTGAACTTCACATTACATGGAATGAAGATCCTTTCTTTCTAAGTCTCACCACTGGTCATGCTTTCGTAGGTGCAGTGGTACTACATGATATATTTGAGAATTACTAGACCCAGAAGGCTGCACTTACAATATCTACTTTGGAATCCACTGAAGACTTTACAGCTATCAGCATTACAGACCATGTATATAAGTGCTTTTAAATTTTCTTCAAGTGATCTATATGGTGGTCCATAAAAAGAAAGATGACATTCTGTGGTGTAGTAGGGTAAATATAGTTAAAAATAATGCACTGTGTATATCAAAATAGTTAAAAGAGAGGATTTTGAATGTATTCACCATAAATGATAAAAGCTTAAGTAACAAATTTACTTATTTTTCTGATTTGATCATATATGAATCAAAATGTCACATTATACCACATAAAGTGAACAACAATTATGTAAAATGAAGTTTTAAACTTTTATAAGATGGTCTTTAGGGAAAATATGAAGTCTAAAGATTTTCCAAAACCTCATTTATCTCTTTCCTCTTGTTTCAGCTAGCACTAAAATGTTTTTATAATTATTAAAAGCTTGCTTTCATGCCTATTCATCAACAATCATGAACAGATTGAACTTTTATAAGCAAAACGAATGGCCTAGGGAAACATTGTTATAGATCTGACTAATCTTTCCTAACCCTGAGTTGTGTCAACATATGGTAATTTCTTGATTTATTTTCATTTTATGTGTATGAGTGTTTTTCCTGCATGTATCAGAGTGCACTATGTGCATGTAAATGCATGGAGGCCAAAAGAGGGTATCAGATCCCTGGACCTGAAGTTACAGAGCATTGTTAGCAATCATGTGGGTGCTGGGAACAGAACCTGTGTCCTCTGGAAGAAAAGTCAGTGCTCTTAGCCACTGAACCATCTCTCCATCCCATGTGGTAATTTTTTTTTTTGTCTTTTTGAGTCAGGGCTCCCTGTAGCCCCAGCTGCCTGCAATTCACTATATAAACCAGGCTGGCCTTGAACTCACAGAGATCCACCTGACTCTGACTCTGCCTCCTGAGTGCTGGGATTAAAGGTGTGCACTACCATAGCTGGCTCCATGTGGTAACCTCTTTAATGGTACATTCTTTCACTTGATAATTATTTTATATATGCCTATAAAACAGGGATCATAACTAAATAAAATACAGTGTTAGGCCTGGAGATAATGTTCAGTGCTAAAGTACTTGCCAAGTCTGAGCAGGAACCCAGGTTCAAACTACAGCAGTCTTAAAAAGCACTGGATACTGTTGCAGAGGACCTGGGTTGGATTCCCAGCAACCACATGACAGCTAATAACTGCAAACAAAAGGAAAGAAAGCATTCAGCACTACTTGCCTAAAACCATGTAGAGCAGAAGACATAGTGGTGCATACCTGCAATCCTAGCACTTGAGAGGTAGAGGCAGGAGGAGTGCCAATTGGAGGCCAGCCTGGGCTACACAAGACCCTGCTTCATAGAACCAAAAGCAAAATAAATAATAAATAAATAGCAGTCAGCCTATAATTTTGTATTTAAGAAAAATAAATTTAATGAAAGCAAAATAAAGACTTTCTTAGAGAAAGAAAAGCTTAGAAAATTCAGCAATCAGTAGATCTGTCCATCAAGAAATGTTAGAGGCTTTCATGCTGAAATAGTTCAGATGAAAACTCAGACCTAAACAAAAAGAGTCCAAAGCTGTTGTGGCTGAATGGCTAAGACTTAGAGTCGAAACCCAATGGGAACCCCCCACATAGGTAAACAAAAAGAAATCACACCCAAACTGGCCACTTTGTGGGAAAATAAAAAATACTATTTTGTTTTATTGAGACAGAATCGAGTTTCATGTATCCCAGGATGGCCTTGAATTGGCCATGGTGCTAAGGATGACCTTGAATTTCTAATTCTCCTGCCCCCACCTCCTGAGTGCTGGGATTACAGGCATGACCCACCATGCCTGCCTTCTGGGGTGCAGGGAGCGATCACACTACCAATTTAGCTACATCACTAATGCAGAAAATATAAAATATATTTTTCTGGGGTTTCAGTTTCTTTAAAAGGCAATTGAATCCCCTTCCCTGACTTTTCCTTTTCTCCTTCCCATATAGTTCAGCCCAAAAGCTATTAGATCAGCCAAGCAGAGCCAGTATCCATGCTAGGGAAACTGGTACAGAAGCCAGAGCAAGGTATCAATTCAAGTGTGGACAGATTATCTGCTCAATACAGCAGCCTGCTTTGGTTTGCAGCCAAAGAGTGGTGGCTAAGTGATCCCCAAGGAAGAAGACTGCAAAGTGGATCCAAGTAGGAAAAGGAAGGCAAACTGAGAAGGTGTGGTCTCTCGTGGAGCCCAAAGCAATCAGAGCCCAAGAAGAGGATAGCTGTCCAAAGCAAAGCCATGCCACCGAGAGGATGCAAAGATAGTAACAAGACAATCATGTCTGCGTCATCTAATGAAAGAAGGACAGCATGGATCAGCTCAATAGGAAGCCTAAAACAAGCCCAAACTGATAGATGGTCTACAATAAAGCTTGCCTAATTTTCACATCAGGCCCCAAAATTAAAGACTAAGGAATTGTCCCAAGTCAAAGGAAATCAAGGAGACATGACAACCAACTGTTCATGACATCTTGACTGGATCATTTTACTAGAACATTATTCAGACAATCAAAAAAAGCTGAATTGAATCTGAAGACCTCGGTGGTTGATTGTAGGACAATGTCCTTGCCCACAGTAAATATACCCACAAAGCACCTCTTCAGAAACGTATTCCAGTTCTGCAGGAAAAACAATTCATTGTCTGTACTAAGTCTGAGATTGTCATAAATAAAAATGTGCTAGAGAACAATAACAGTGTTTAAAGCAAATATAATTTTGAAATTGTAAAGTTATGAAATATTACATACATATTACAATAATAACTAAAAGCACAGAAGGGGAAAATAAAGACTTACTGTTGTTAGGCTCTTACATTACATGTAAAGTAGCATGAAGTTATTTGAAGGTTATCTGTGATAGCTTAAAATGCATAACATCAACCTTAGAGCAGCTGCTGATAAATAAATTAAATAAATAAATAAATAAATAAATAAATAGCTGTCAAAGGCATAAATGGCCACAGGAAAAAAACAG